GCCAGCACCTGCTGCTCCCCAGGCGACCCCTCTGTGCCAGCTGCTGCCTTGCCCAGTGCCACCTCTCTGTCCATGCCCCCCGCCAGCACCTGCTGCTCCCCAGGTGACCCCTCTGTGCCCGGCTCCACTGCCGGCCCTGTTCCCTTTCCTGGGGGCCGTTCCTGTGCCACGGTGCCCTCCTCAGGCACGGATTCCCCCAGCGCAGCCCCCGTGCCTGCCTGGGGCAGTGCATCCCCTGCCCCTGCAGCTTTTCCTGCGGCCTCTCTGCTGCCAGCATCTCCCCCAGCAGCCCCATCCTGCTCCGGGGCTTGTCCCGGCCCTGTCGCCTCCCCGGCTTGTGCTGCTGCCTCCTGCACATCCAGGCTTCTCCTCCCTTCTGCCAGGAGCCTTCCATCTGCTGCTGTTGGGAGATAATCAGACATTGGTTTGCTCAGCGGCCTGCCAGTGCTACGTGCTTCACAGGGTTAGTGCTAAAGGTGCCATTTCTGCCCAGCCATGAGGGACAGCAGCCTGGGCACCCAAAGAGAACTTGCTGTGCTGCTGCTCATCACATCCCTGCACTCTGACCATGATTTGGTACTGCTGTTCTGGCATCTGGCATAAAGAATTTAACTAAAAGTGTTGATGCAAGGCCAGTCATGCTTGTCCTGCCTGCTCTGCCCCCCTCCCTACCTGCAGGGAGCTCATGTGTGTGTGCAACACCTGTAAGCTTGACAGTGACACGCAGAAACTCAGAAATAGCTGACAGATTGCTCATGTGAAATATGCGCAGAAAGGACAAAGAACATTCAGCTTCCTGTGGACTCTGTAATTACACCAGGGAATAATACAGGGTTAATTCCTGCCCCTGGGAACCAAGGCATTTCCCAAGGAGGCAGCACACTACCAGGAAGCACATGGTACCTCACTACATTCCTGCTTTCCACAGCCGTTTTCTGACTCACAGTTGTTTCATGGCCTGCATTCTTCTTCTAGAACCATTTAACGGCCAAAAATGCATTAATTATACATGACTACAGATGCCACCTAGTCATCACCTGATTTTTACAAGTTAGGTAAGAAAAAAAGTACAAGGAAACTTTGATAGCCAAAGGAAAGGAAAAGGGCAAACACTTCCATTACAAGACTTCAGGTAATCCTTGTGTCTGACTGACAGCCAATCTTACCTCCACTGGCACTATGCTCTGTATTTGCTGCATTCTTTTCTTCCTCATTGGCACACAAATCACCAGGCTCAGGGTCAGAATTCACAGGATGATCATTTCCAGTTGCTTTTGCTGTTTCCTCCTGGACTGGTTTGCAGTCTTCAAAAACTATTACAAAGAAAACAGGAAGCAAGAAAGAGAAACTATTAAAGAGCAAAAAGGGAGTAGAAACCATTCAGCCATCTCAGCTTTAAAATGGTTTAAAATTCATTTTTTGGCCAAATCCTTTCACTTTAAGCACTAGCAGACTGAGCCAGTGCTAATGTTGTGAGTGGATATTGAGCCCACAGCAGCTGCAGCAGCTCCCTGTGCTGCAGCAAGGACGAGTGCAAGGCAAACAGAGCAGCACAGGCATGCAGAGCTGTGCAGAGGGACTGGACTCACCCCCTCCTTCCTCATGCCAAGGAGGCTCTTCGTTGCCATCCTCCTTGCTCAATACCCTGCTTTCCCAAGGCACTGGAGGACATTCCTCCTCCTCATTCATGTTACTTTCTCCTGACCCAGTCTGTTTGAATTCCCCGTTAACCTCAGGATTTTGATGCTGCATTGCCCTTATGTTTTCATGAAAAATTCTAGTGTCTTCCCTTGCTGTTAGATCTTCTGGTTTTGTCTTGTCTGCTTCATCTATTCCTTTCTGTTTCAGTGCAGAATTCTCTTGATTTTCCTCCACTCTGAGCAGTTTCTTCTCCCCATTCTCATTTCCACAGTGTGCATGTGCTGCACTATCAGATGTACTTTTGATATTGCAGTCCTCTTTGCAATTCCCATGGTCTGCCTTCATTTCAGCTTGCGAGTCAGTCTCAGTGCTGCACTGAGTGCTCATGGATGAGAGAGAGTCTGCAGGCCTCCTCTCTGAAAACAGCAAATTTTAATTTAGTATTTGTCACTTAACCTCTGCATTCACTGGGCACTCACAAAGGGACACAATCCCATCCAGTAGCATTCTCTGAATTATACCATCTGAGGGTATTGTGACAAAATTCCAGTAAGTGTAAATAGAAGAACATTGCCCAGATATATGAAGTACTAAAATTAAAGCCATTTAACATGGAGGGGTTTTTTTTCTGATAATAGAAATAAATCAAAGATTTATAGAGTAGTTCTATCAATCACATAGAAATACACCACCAAATGCACCTTTAAATATGGCTCAGACAGGGTTTAATACAGACTCTTCAGCTTCATTAGATAAAAGACTTCAACCACAGCAACAATCCCTCAGCACCCTTCTGTTCACTCCTTGAATATTAGAAAGATTTCTAAAACCGTGTGTAAACCCTTCAGGCTGAACTGGAGATGAAGTTCACTGTCTCCTCTAGAGAAACATACAGGCACCATCATATTAAATTCATAAATGGAAAATTTGAGGGGGAAAAGGCTGTAATTCTTCATCGGACAGTGAGCTGAACAGCAGAGCTGACTGCTGCACAGCCTTGCTGCTGTCCACAATCTACAGGGTTCAAGAAGAGATTGGTCTAACTCAAGACCGAAAAATCTAGTCAGAGCAAGAAAATAAAAGTGTCAGAGCTATAATCTATGCAGAAGTGCACTGCACTTCAGTGCCACCATTAATGGCAGAGAAAACAGATTCCAGTAGGAAGGGCATATGCAGATCAACATACATACTGGACACGTGCAAACTGTAAAACATGCATCAGGTCAGCTTCTCCAAGCCTTGTTATGACCAAAACTAACCTGGTAGATCATCTTCACAGTCCCTGTCATCAGAATATCTTTTATCTTTCTTACTGTCAGAGGCCTGCAGTGCCTTCTGAGATGAGGTTTCACTCTCCTTTCCATAGTCTAAATTACGGTTTTTATCATTTGAGGATGACTTTGACATTCCATTCATTTGATCACCAATCTGTCCCTCTTCATTAACTTCCACATCTTCAAAATCTTCATCATATTCTAAAATAGAAGAATTGTACTGTGAGACAGGAAACAGAATTCACAATTAAAAAAGTTCTCTTTAAGCAGATAGAAACACTGAGCCAGTGTTAACATTCTGAGTTGATATTAATTAACATCATTCATCTCCTTTTGCCCTTGAATTTGCACAGTCTTTTTAAAGCCATGAGAGAATCTAAAACCACAGATAGGAATTGTGAGAGCATATTATCATAAAAAAGCATTGTGTATTTCATAGAGTAGCAAAAATGTAGCAAAACTAAAGGTATGAGTAATACATTAAATCAAAAATAAACAAAGTTACCAGCCATGGAAAGTGAAAATTTAGAGCTGGGAAAACTCAGAAATTAAATGTAAGAATCTCTTATAACAGGAGAAAAACTGGATGTGATGAAAAAAAATTAAAAGCAATTGAGAAAGCTGGAGAAAGGTAATATATTATACTGCAAAGTACAATAAATGTATATTGACATGGCTAAATAGCAGAGAAGTGTCTTATAAGCTCAATGAATTTAATGAACTCCAGCCAAAGGGCACTGCAGAGGCACTGTGTTATCACAGTGCTCTAATGTGCTCCTCCAGGACCCGGGGGAAAACCCAGTACAAACAAAGCCTGCACAGAATCACCACTCTTACACCCACATTCTGCAACTCAGGCAGGCACTAGCCTGACATCTGATAGACCACAGAGTAATCATCTGATAGACATCGGATAGATCCACACGGACCCTCGAGTGCAGCTGCCGGCCCTCCACAGCACTCTGCTTGGCTCTGGAGGTGAAACCCCTTCGTGCAGATGCATTAGAGAAGCTCTCCTTGCCCCCAGAGCTGTGCTCTGCACATCCCAGGCACAGCACGGGGATGGCAGGGATTCCCACCCAAAATCCAGAGCTGTCCTGCAGCCACGGGCTCCCTGCGCACGCAGGGAACACACTGGAGGGCAGCTGCACTGCTGCCACACCAGCTGCACTGCTGCCACACCAGCTGCACTGCTGCCACACACTGCACCACGCAGGCCAGCTGCACGGCTGCCACAACAGCTGCACTGCTGCCACAACAGCTGCACTGCTGCCACACCATTCCTCACTTTGCAGGTTTTATTGCTGCCCTCCCTTCCTTCCATCAGGGCTTTTAACACACGGAAGTGACAGAACACCAAGGACAGAAATGAAGAGTTCCTGATGCAGAACCAGTCAGGCAAACAAACAATTACCACGACAATGAGAACTAAGGGAATAAGGAGATTTATTTTTCTGTATTAAAAATCAATTGAGATTCCAATTGCAGTGTTGGCAGTGAGGTCTCTGTCAGGAGGGCAGTTCCTCCTGAAGGAAAAAGGCTTCGTTAATCCCAAACACACATCCGGAGGGACTAACGACTGTCAGATGAGTAGCAATACTGCAGAACTGTGAAAGCAAAAATAGGAATAGGAAGTAGGAATTAAAATCTCTCTGTGAATGCGATTGCCTCCAAAGAAGTTTATGATAAGGAGGAAGTAAAGGCAGAGACTGAGCTTGATGCCTCTCCCATAGCTGAGTACACCTTCCACTATCCCAGACTGCTCCAAGCCCCGTCTGACTTGGACTTGAATGCGTCCATGGATGGGGCAGGCACAGCTGCTCTGGGGATCCTGTGTCATTGCCTCACCACCCTTCCTTACTCTCTTTCTTGGCTCTTGCAAACCACCTCATTCTGTTGCATGGCTGAAAGGAGCCCCTCCAATTCTGTGGCCCAGATACAGACATCACCGCATTTCTCATGCCTCAGTCAGAGCTGGTGGTCCACAATCCCAGACCTTCTCCAGAACCATCCCCTCCCATTTCTCATCCCCTGCTCATGTTTAGGAATACTATACCACTTTCACTGGTGGTTTCCTGAGTGGTGGTTTCCTGAGCAGTGCCTTCGGTCTCCACAAAAGATCGGTCTTCTGTTTGTGCTTCTTCTTCTACTTCTTCTCCTATTTCTCCTTCTATTTCTTCTCCTTCTTCTTCTTCTTCTTCCTCGCAGCACTCCTGTTCAGAGTCGAGTGTTTCGTCGATAGTGTCCACGCTGTCCTCTTGGCTGGCTATGGTGAGTGACACCGAGTCTTCAATGGATTTGGGCAGCACGTTGCTGTCACAGGGCTGGCTGTGCGCGCAGTAAGGAGAGCAGGAGCACATGTGCGCCCTCGAGTAGAACTTCAGCTTCCTCTTGGGAGGGTATAGCTTTTTGTCCAGACCCATCGCAAGAAAGCACCTATAAAATAACGCAGATTGGGAAGTGTCACATTTTTCTTCCTTTGAACAACAGAGGGCAGCAGACACAGCGAGTTCAGATTGTCATTAGCAGGGACAGCAATGCCCATCTGCCTCTGCCCGCCACAACGCTCGCAGGAGAAGCGCCCCGAAATCCCCGAGAGCTCCCCCAGCACAGATGCAGCTCTTCCTTGAAGCACTGAGGCAACAACTGACACACAAACAGAGCCAAAATTATTACAGGTGCCCATTCATTTGAAGCTGCACCGAGCATTGGCTGTGAAGACAGGACCACTGAGAAAGGCAGGCAGACGTGTTCTGGATCCAGATCCTGCTGTCATTCCCAGCAGTGTGATAACTGAGGGTTTGTGGGTAAGACTGGGGGTTCTGTACTTATCTGCTGGGTCTAAGAACTGTGCAGGAAGAAGAAGGTTGAAAGTTAGCAATTTTCTGCTTCTGTTCTGTTTACCTACTTAAAAGAAACCCAAAGAGATGGAAAACAAAACATTTTGAATGAGCTGTTGAGACTGCCCCCTTGTATAAAATGGAGTGATATGCTCCCCCCCTCTCTCTCTGACAGTCAGGAGCTCCACAGAACTGCAGACCCTGGCCAGCAGAAAGCTCTCAGAGCAAGGCTTGCAGCGTGGTACAGAAATCACTGCAGCATCACCTCGCTGTGAGCCAAAGCCTCGACCCACCAGGGAGAATCAGCTGGGACTTTACTGCGAACCAGAGTGGGCATTCCATGTATGTCATACAGCAGAAAACAAACCCAAGTGCACTTGGCCTGAAGGGGCGTGAAAACAGTTGTCATTTGTGGGGAAAATCAGGTTAATGGAGATGATTTTTAGTTATCAGATAAGGTCAGCTGGATTGATAAGAGGCAGGAAAAGAGAGATATCACTAAGTGTAAGAGGGAAAGGGGGACAGAAAGGGAGAGTAACTTAGGAATTAATTAATCCAGTTTTTGGATACTATATTAAATTCTGAAAATTCACTTCACATCTTTATAGAAATCACAAAAATCTGAGATTGGGGCATTTCCTAAAATCTATAGCCACTACAGGCATTCTGAATTGTCAGACTGGAGCAAAAACTATGGTACAAAAAACTAGCATTTTTTTCCTAGAATTCAGTCCTTGCCTGAAGGAACAGAGTACACCTCTGTGAAGAGTCTCTTGTTCCAGCTGCTAGCTGCTCTTTTAAAAATGATTTATTAAAATAATACGGAAGATTTTAAATTATCCACATGTCCGTAAGTTTATGTATGGCCAGAATCAACAATTACAGAAAAGGAAGATTTTATGAAAATTAAAGCCCCTTGGCAGAATCACAGCTGTTGGTCACAGCACTGACATTTGCCCAAGACCTTTCTGCACAGATTTGGTTTCTGAACAATAACAAATATTCAATGCTGCCTTATTCTGAAGCTAGGACTATTATAACAGAATCTCACTTCAGAGGCAGAGCTGGTTAAAAATCAATTATCACAAAAAAAGCCTCTGGACACCACAGCTAACTGAGCAGCACGCTTGGTGTTTATTCCACTGCCACTGTGCCACAGCCACACAGGTGGCACACAGAGCCCACCCCGGAGGCACTGCCCCGTGCTCCAGCACAAGCATGTGGGCACACAGCACAGGAACCGGCTGAGCTGGTGCCCTGGATGGGAGCCCTGACAGATGCTCTCACCCTGCCCCAAGCAGTGTCCCCTCTGTGTGCACACACACGGGCACCGGCTGAGCTGGTGCCCTGGATGGGAGCTCTGACAGATGCTCTCACCCTGCCCCAAGCAGTGTCCCCTCTGTGGGCACACAGCACAGGAACCAGCTGCACTGGTGCCCTGGATGGGAGCTCTGACAGGTACCCCCACCCTGCCCCAAGCAGTGTCCCCTCTGTGGGCACACAGCACAGGAACCGGCTGCGCTGGTGCCCTGGATGGGAGCCCTGACAGGTACCCCCACCCTGCCCCTTCCACGGGGCACTGAGAAACAGAGCAGGCTCCACAGAGCTGCATGGATGGACGCAGGGAGATGAAGGAAGAGAAACAAGTTGGAGTCCTTGTGAGCAAAGCGCGCTTTCTCCATACCTGTAGCAAGGAGGGGCTCCTGCCACGTGGAGCACCCTGAAGTAGGTGTTTCTGCGCTGCAGCCGGCAAGGCCTCTTGGTCTGAAAGCCTCTGTACTCACAGCAAGAGCTCAGCCTGTCAACTTGGAGCCCGTTCAGGAAAAAGGTGAGGCTGAACGGGTAACCAAGGTACCTCTTAGAGATGAACTGGAAGGTGTCTGCAATTACAGAAATAAAGGGTTCAAAGAAGAACATGGTGCTTCACTGTCAGCCTGTAGCAACTGCTCTATCTTAACTGCATCGCCACAGCATCACCACATCACCCTCTGTGGACAGGCACTGGGGTTCTCAGGCCTGTCCAACAGTTGGTTAAACTCGACCCCTCCACACACACAGCCCTGGCTCTTGCCAGCCCCAGAATCCTGAGCTGGGACAAGTGTCACACTGTCAGCCTGGCCACTCACTGCTACAGCAGGACAACGACCAGAGCCTCCCAGCCATTTCCTGTGTCCACTTTTCCAGAACACAATTCATCTTTTACTGCTGTGATGAAATTGCACTCATACTTCCCAAAAAGAGATGGGAACTGGGCTCTCACTATGTACTTTTCCTTCTGGAATAAGAAGCAACATTCACTGACTTGTATTAGCAACTCAGATAACCCCCCTTTAAGGACAGTTTATTACTACAGCTGCTCTATTAACCATATATCTCTAGAGATAATTAGCATAAGCAACAAGTATTTTGTTAAATCAATTCTCTAAGTTCTTCTACCATCATTGCAAAAGCAATTGTAACCTCACTTTCAATCACGGGACAGTAGATCCAGGTCTAATGTGGAGGCAGATGGTATAAACATCCCTGGATGCATATATCTTGACCAAGCTGAGCTGTAATCACTCTGATGTCAGGGCAAAGTTTTAGCAGAAAAAGCAATGTTGCCACAATCAGTATGAACTCCCTGGCTCCATCCTTACCTCCTTCCAACAGGTCGCCTTTATAGACACAAATGTTTTCTGTTCCACAGTATTGCTGATAGACTTTGATTTCATCCTTGTGATCACGGAGTGACACGTGCTTACTCTTTCCTAGGTAGATCATGGTGACCAGGGCATTGCTGCATAATGGGGACTTGGGGAACCCATTGGTATTCTGCAGCAGAAAATGCACAGAAATGCCTTCAGCTCCCAGCTCCAACAAGGGGCAAAAACAAAGCTCACATCTGTGCAGCCCACGCTTGAGACTTCCAGGTTTTTATAACAAGAGGCGAGCTGATTAAATGGGGAAGTGTTTGTAACATGCAGAGGGTGTGGGACACATTTCCAACTGAAAACCCAATGCACTGAATAGCCCCAAATTTCAAGGACCAGGTTTAATGACCCATATCATCCCACCCAGTCCAGGGTTCCTACAACTTCATTTACAGGAGTTAAAACTGGCTGCAGACAGTGTAACTGATGCAGTGTTCATAAACTCAAGGCATTTCACAAACCCCTGAGATTCTAGTGCCAGAGACAGGATCAGACTGACTGAAGTGGCAGGCTTTGAACAACTGTTAATCTACGTTTTGTTCAGCCCCTTTTTTCTCCCCAGCTGATGAAAAACACCAAATGTTTTAGTTTACAGGGACATGCATAGCAATTATATATATTTTAATAGTTATACATTTTCTTTATGCAAACTAGGTAAGCACATCTTTCAGCATCAGGCAAACACACCAGTGAGGAACGTCACACACCTGTATGCAGACAGAGACTACTCACATTGATCAAGAACTGCTCATTGAAGCCCGTGGTGGAGTGGAACCATCTCTCGACAGGCAGCCCGCGCCGGATGCCGGGGATGCAGCGGTCCCCGACGTGCGGGCGCGGCGGCGGCACCGGGGCCGCGCGGCGGCGGCGGCGCTTGCTGGGCCGGTACGGTGACGCACCGGACATGTAATCCATGGGGTTCCTGAACTTGAGCTCGCTGCTCTGCCTCTGCAAAAACATCTCAGTGGCGTGACACCGCTTCTGCAAAACCCCGAGCATACGGAACCGGCCACGGTCTGTCTGCTCGGTACACCGAGCAACCTTCTGACACAGCTCCTGACCTGGGCCTGGAATTCTGCTCTTGAAAATATTCCTGTGCTAAACCACTTTCTTTTAATCTGCAAGGCAACATCCATATTGCTTGAAAATGTCACCTTCAGAGATACGGACAGCACTGCACACCGAGATCCCATCTGAGACAGAACCCTGCACAGCCCTGCAGCGCTGCTGCTCCCTTGCAGCTGGAAAGCACAGCCCCAGAGCAGCCAGTCATCCAACAGAAACATCACTTGGCCTCAGTTATACAGGATGTGCTTCAAAATGCTGAATAGGGATTTAGTCCTCTGCAGAATGAAATGGACCACAGCCCATAAGAGTAAGACATTATAAAGAACAAGTTCTGTAAACGCTGCATGCTGTAGCTCTGAGTTCTGCATCATGTTCTCAGAATTACATCTGATTTAACTTACATCTAAGAAACCATTAAATCACCTATAATTTGAGTAGACATAAACAGGACCAACCAGCAGATTCTTGAAGAATCATGACCATGCTGATGCACAGCAAGCACAGATCAGAAGGGAGCTCTTTACACCAGTGGTAGCAGATCACAGTCCCACTCCAAAGCCCTCTCACCCCATGGAATGCATATCACAAAACCAATTTCATTATGTTTTTCTAGAACAGAAGACAAGTCCAAATATCACTTGAAAGTAACTGCAAATACATCAAGACCATGTTTGACTCTCATTGTCTAAGCTCACTAGTGTGATTTAGTAGAAGGAATCATCAAAAAGAAGGAATTTTTTGCTACTTTGCTACTTTGTAGGTGATGATGAAAACTTGTAGGACTTGCAATTGAAAATATTCCAAAGTTTCTGGAGTCAACCAGGTGCTGCCTCTCTCTCTCTCTACATAAGAGAAAATCTACATAGAGGGAGAAAATTTTATATGCAGAAAGATTTTATACTATAAAAGGTAAGTCACCACATTTTTCCTCACTGTGATCAAGAACTGGGCATTAGACCAGTAAGACAGTGTCTTGAAAATTGAGGGGAAGTGAAAAAGGACAGTTTAAATAAAAGTTGATGCCATTTGAAAGGGATGTTCCCTGTCGTGTACAGTTCTGGGAACCACAGTACTTAAACAATATTACAAAACTGTCCCTGAAGTGGGACAGTTTATTTTCAGAATGAAATACAGCCTCACACCACAGGCAAATTGCTGATAATGTTCCAGTGCATGACACTTCTGTTTGGAAGCCTTTGGTGCAGACCCTGCTGCAGCCCCACCAAGAAGGGGGGTATATTTCCTGTATATTTCCTGGAGCTGTATTTGGTCACAAGGAACTCTACAAAAGGAGAAAGAAAACAATGACAAAATCTCAGTGTATAACTCCCAGTGCAGAGCAGCATCACAAAGAAAAATAATAGCACTGATGAAGATATCTAGAAGTGGTGAGTGATTACAGGTACCTACAGGACATGACATTTTCTAGTCTGCCTCCAAAGAGCCAGACCCCTTTAGGCACCCCTAAATGACCATTCCAAACAACTCTTGGCCATAAATACAAGGTTTGCTACTATCTCCTCACTATGCAGTCTTGTAGCAAACACAATGAACTCACAGAAACTGTAGCAGTGTGCTATGGACTTCAGCACACAGACCCAGGGAGAATGCACAACAAAAACGTACCGTTTTTGTTCAATTTCACAGATTTTTCTGACTGTTTTATTTCATGTTTTCCTTGCATACCCTTCAGAATACCAAGTTAAAATGTTAACATCCAACAGCACTGTTTAACTGAGGTTCACTCACCACCTTAGAGACGGGAGGCTCCTTGGCTCGGAAATAATAACGTCCATCACCATAATCAAATCTAAGTCTGGGTCCCCTCTGTATGAAAAAAAGGTCATTCAGGGCTCAAAAGTTTCTCTTCAATCTGCATCAATTATCATTATTGATATAGAGAACCAGTTGAAACTGACCTAGATATTTGACCTTTGACTTCAGGCTTTAGTACTATTATATTTCAAGTATATTTCCATTATAATAACACTCCTTCTTTGCTGTTCACAAAGAGCTCCTAGACACAGCCTTCTGAAATGAGCTCCAGTCTGATTTCATTCCCTCAACTCTGTTTTCTAAAAGACTCCCACCTTTTTCAGGGCTTTACAACATGCGTAACCTTGTTTGCAGCCCCTGTGTCCACTGACAATGCTCAACACACTGATACTGGCCTGCCTGAGGTCATGAGGCAGATAAAAGGGAAAGCAGATTTATCAGACAGCAAAGGTTTCTGGGGTTTTTTCTAGGTTCTGATGTGCCATTCCTGCAACTCTAGCTTCTAGAGATTCCTTAACCCAACCCAGCAAACAGGAAATGAGCGTCCAGTGATGAAGGATGTGGCCCTAATGCAGAATGCCCCAGTGCTGGGGTCCCTGGGCACACCTGGAGCTGTGCTGCAATGGCAGAGTGCCCCAGGCAGTGAGTGCCCTGTGCTGGGGTCCCTGGGCACACCTGGAGCTGTCTGTGCTGCCCTATCCAGAATGTCCCAGGCCCTGTGCTGGGGTCCCTGGGCACACTCAGCTGTCTGTGC